AAATATCGTAAGTCTCTCTTCCATGTTTTTTTGAAAGGATAATGACTTTTGACTAAGTGAACAGAGGCGGACTCTAAATGATAATTGAGAGGCTTGGAGATCCAGAAATGTTGACACAAACGATGAGACAAGAACATAAACAGTCCGGTTATGCGTGCCACACACGATCTGGACCCGCCCTAAGCACAAGGACGACTCGGACTTCACATAAGTGAGAAGGCCATACAGATCATGTCGAGGAACCACTGTAGTCTATTCGTCAGTCCTGACAAATAGGACCTAGCTAGCTCGTCAGTAGGCGAACTTGAAAGTCACGACCGACACAATGTCAGGCGCTGATTTGCCGTGCGGATAAACTGCCCACTACTGGTCTCTCTCTCCTCTACGTATCAGACGACTGCCCGAGCCCAGTGAAAAGACAGTGAAATGCAAACTCACACAAGTCTATAGACAAAATCCGGGACTTTCTGTACGCCTATGGCTACTCAATCAAATCCACAAAAGAGGTGAACATTTAAGGAAGTTTTTCACCATTCCTATTAGACCAGGAACCTCAGAGTTGACCACGGACATTTAAAAAAATAGGATTTTCCACCAATCGGCAACAATTGTAGGATAAATTGAACAAAGGATGACTGGCGGTGGTTGCTTTGGACAATTTTTTTACTTGGAGCCCAAACTCAAGGAGCGCCACAATCGATGAGATCGTTTTCGGAATCTTCGAAACTAGAAAGGCCTTTGGTAGGTTACAGTCATTGTATCTTTCTCCATCTTCACTTGACGGGGCACAAGGTCGCACAACGGTGTACACAGCCAAACCCTCTCCAAGGTAGCTAAGTCATTTCCACTCTACGTTTTGGAAGACCCTGAAAGATTAGCGCTATCAAGACAGGAATCCGGATCTTGGAATGAATCCACATGCCTACTAGCTGCCGAAAAAACCATTCTAGTCTGGTGGGTATTTGTCGAAACGCCCCCGTCCATGCAAACGTGAGGTATATCAAACTTCGTACAGTTGATCCACCGATGATGATTTCTAAGACCACCCTCTAGCCTCCTCCATGCTATCCAGTGGCAAGAGGCCAACAGTAAATTAGATCAGACGCTGAGGCCAGGTCCGGGGGCACAGCAACTTCAGCTTTGTGAACCCGAGGGACACGGAGTAGATGAAAGGTGGAAGTCGTACGATTTGCTGTACCTTCACGAACACTGGTGATTATTACTGATAATGATGGTACAAGAGGGCTGGGAGGGCAAGCAGGTCATACAAGGTGTGTGTGTGTGTGTGTTGGCTGAAGTAGGTGTTGGTCAGCATGAGACGGTGCACTGCGCAGGCGCGAAGGAGGAGTAGGCCATTGTCGTTGAGTCCTCGGAGGCCGTGGGGTCCG